AGAGAAGTTGTCCATTGTCGCCCGAGTCGATATCGGTTACGCTCGTGCGAAGGACTGCTGTACCGCTCGGCGCGTTTTCTAACACAGTGATGGAATACTCGCTCTTTTCAAAAACTGGAGGGTTGTCATTGACATCAATTAAGACCACGGATACAATGGCCTCGGCGGATTTGAAACCTGTTGGTGGACTGCCATTGTCTTCTGCAATAACTGTAAATTGATAGGAATTGACGCGTTCAAAGTCCAGTACCTCCGTGGTCCTGATGGCACCAGTTGTTCTATTGACACGAAAAGGAACGCTCTGACTGGGGTCAAGCGAGTAATGTATCGTCTGCCAGGTGTCAATGTCAGTTGCCGCAACATTCCCGACCTCAGTTCCAGAACTTTCTTCCTCCGCTACGGAGAAATTAAAGCGATCAGAATTAAAAGTGGGTGCGTGTCTATTCACAGGTACCACCTCAACAGTGACTTCTGCAGTTTCTACAACTCGATTTGGAGGGTCTCCTTTGTCAACCGCGTAGCACTGGAAGACATAAGGAGACGACGAGGTGCTTAGAGCAGATGCAGTGTAAATTATTCCAGTTTCGGCACCGACTTGGAAATGGCCATCTGGATTAACGATTCCATATGTGACTTCCCCGTTTGCTCCAACGTCCAAATCCGACGCAGTTAACTGCAAAACGGACGAATTCACCGGAGCGTCTGTCTCTATTGCAGCTGAAAAACGCAGTGGTGTAAACACAGGCGCATTGTCATTGACGTCAAGTACGTGGACATCAATAAGCAGCTGTCCAGTCTTTGGTTGGTCACCGTCATCCACTGCCACAACTGTTAAGGTTATAAGCTCAGTGCTCTCTCTGTCCAGCGCTGATGATATGGTTATTTCACCTGTCTCAGCGTTAACATTAAAGTTAGAAGCGTTGGCACCTACAACAGCCATCATTCTGTATGTCACATTACTGTTACCAGAGTCTGCTACAGACGCCGTGTGTATCACGGTGCCGGCTGGCGCAGCCTCACTTACATTGACAGAGACGAAAGTTTGGTCAAATACCGGAGGGAGAGCGTTCACTCTGGAGAACCTGATGGTGTACGTGTGGGTACCATCAGATGTCGAGTACAGATCTACAATATGTAGAAGGTCTACGTCATTCACTTTACTTAACCAGACGTTTTCGGGCAGAATTGATTGCCTGTCGTCCCTGGTGACGGATGAAACGGTCAGTGACTTGTCTCCGGTGTATTCTGCTCTGGCATAATTCCACCCAGCGTTTGCGTAACGGACTGTTATCTACAACAGGATAAAATACAACATATACAAATGTAGCACTCATATACTGGATACATATGATCTCTGTGGGCATATTGCAAATATTTGTGACTAGTGACACAGATTGGACATCAACTGTTTCCTTAGTTCATATATTTTCCCACAATAACTTTCGAGCCAGTGCACCATCAGTGGATCCCGGGTTTTACTTTGGGTGGGTGCTTGGGGTTGGAGGCAGGATTGGGGATGGGGGAAGACAAAAACATGGGACACAAATCGTCATACTGCGAATAGGACGTCTTTCATGCAAGTACTATCTTCCGAAGCGTAAGTTCTCTTACAACACGTACATATAACCCCCTTACTTTTCAGGCCGTTGGACGGAATATCTCAACGCTTAAGAAATAACACATTAAGTATACGGATGCAATTCTAACCCAATCATATAAACTCAATGAACTTGAATAACAACAGTTTCGGAAGTAGGTGTACATGTATGACAAAATGATATTTCGCACAGCATTTGAAAATATTTACAAATACAAGTATTAACTTACGGTTACGACTTTTCCCGAGCCGTACTCCACACTGGTAATATTTGCCATATATACTGGATACGGATGATTTCCATCGTGGCTGGTATATATGGCATTAGGCATCAAGTCCAGACTTTGCTCCGGCATGACGAGGAAATCCGGTATGCCATCATCCGGCTGCGCACGGATCACGTGAAGTAATTCGAAGAATTCAACCGAGTCCAGTACCGAAAGCTGAGGGTCGCCTAGGATGTAATCAGAAGATAAATTTGACTCGCGTTTCACATAATTATAAGATGTAAAAAACTTAAAGCGTTATAAACACACAACATTTTCAAAACAATTGGTTAGAAAAAATCAATGCATTACACTTAAAATTTACCTATGACTGTAAAACCCGAATACTAAATACTGGTATCCGTGTCCTGTCTTACGCAGAAACTTACCAAGTGGATTGATGTTTTCAAATGTGGCGGAATAATTAGAGAATTTGCCCGGAAGTGATGACGTCATTATCCACCGCGCCATCTTGGTGGTCATGGGGAGGATATCACCAAAGTTTACAGCCAGTGAGGTCGATATTGGCTCAAGTCCGAGTTGAGCGCCAATTATTTCAAAAGTTATAAGCAACCCCTTTTCATTTTCAATTATTTCGGGCTGGGATGACGTGATCTTCATTTGGTTGGCTGTACCATATCCCTCGTTTATCACTAATACACCCAGAGAGAATGGGACTGATGGCTCCACGACACCTGCATGAGGTAGAATACATACACAGGAAAACATTATGATATGGACACAGAAAATAATGTGAGTATGGCTATATGCAATGAGGCCGTTTTATTTAATCTGCTTAAAAGTATGACGGATAAATGCATAGGCACGTGGAATGATTAAGGTGTGGATAATTGAATGGAACCCGGTATTCTCTGAACAGAAAACGCGCAAAAATAATAGGTTATCAGTTACCATCCACAATCCTCGGAATAGGAAATATCTATAAAATTCGTAAAATAACACTGTATGAGCATGACGTCACATGGGTGGGTAAAATGACGTCATATGAGGTCAGACTCACCTGTCGTGAAAGGGTCGTCACCTTGAACGTACTTCTCCAGGAAGTACTTAATGTGAAGTCTGGGGTCCGGTTTTACGGTGACCGTGTCAGGAAATAGTGGCACTCTAATATCGTCTCCGTTCAAAGTGTAATATAATGTTCCACCTTAAAAGTAAGTGATAAAGTATAGTTATGTTGGGATTAATTTTAAAAGGGTCATAAAATTAATTGGGTTTGTTAGAGGAACGTGCATCGAATACTTACATGAAACGTGGAGTAGGCCTATAAATGTGTTTTTGAAGAGAAAAGGTTAACCATTAAAACACAAATTCTTTGTTAGACCTTTTTAAACCAATCATTGTTTCAATATGTTTAAAAATAGTAAAACTAAAAAAACTAATTAAATGCAACACAAAAATTGAATTGTTAATCACACGTTTTAACTCTATATTGTAAACGTTACGCTCTTGTTATCACTTGCTATATTTATCAATAACTGAACTGATGAACTGATGACGTCACGTACCCATGTCATACTGCGTGTCCTCAGTGGGGGCAGCGTCACTGTATGGCACTATTAACCACACTGCACTGCCATCTTGACCTGGAGCTAGCGACCCATTACCTGACACACCCGTCAGTCCTGTCAGCTCTGGCTCACCTAACAGTATGTTAAGAACGAGAACGTGAAAGAATGACCTGCCCACACTGTTATAACACACGCGCGCGCACGTGCATGTACGCACGTAACCACACAAACAGAGATGCACGCACGTATTCATGACTACCTACAAGAGGACCTATACAACACTACACAAATATGTTGGACACATTTACAATAGAAGCAACTAGAAGGTTTCTAATAAGGAAGAAAACATAAACAACATTAGCCTACCTATAGAAAACAGATGGGTGGAAACGTCACCCGTGTCTGTGTGTTTTATAAAGATCTCAACACCGATATTTTCCAAGGCGTTCACATCACCATTTTCGATCTCAAGCTTTGCTTCAAAGGCGTCTCTGGTTAGAACCAGCTCCTGCACAATTTGTATTCGTACCTTGGCACAGACGCCTTTTGCCTGAAATATGACGGAGGTACAGAGGTTAACTTTCGGGCCCGCTCGGCTGACAGCTATTTAGCGTGAACCCCTCAGGGAGTTAGGTCGATCTAAAGTAGATCGATCTAATCTCTGGAAATGGGGTCCAAGTTAATTCATGAACGCACGCCAGGGAAGAAGCAAAGAGCAGGTGAGCATTTAGTAGTTACCTCACTAAATGTTTTAAATGTTTTTAATGCTCTCTTTTTCGCACGGGGCGTTTTCAAAAGCGACCTTTTATTTTTAAACAAAGCTAAATGAGGGCTTACTATGTGAACACTGGTTCCTTTGCATAACTTTAAATCTGTTTTTAGTTGGGTTTTCAACAATGGTTAAGGTTCATATACTGAGCATATTCGTCCTACATTACTTACTGTTGAAGCTTCCACAAATTGTTGATTTGCTTTATTAAACCATTCGAATATCGAGGCCGACCCCTCCTGCAATGTATAGAGATATCGTATGTAACTACATGTACGGAATGTTCGCACGCTTACTTCATTCTACATATCGACTGACAAGGGAACCTGGCTTATGCTTAAGCAAATTAAATTTACTAATAAAAACACGACTGTTGCAAATTTTGGTTGTATTTTTAGTACCACCTATAGAAGGCAAATTTAACTTTGGTTAAATGTGACCTCCATGTGGAAACATACGTTTTTGGCGTCTTGGGTATCGTTGACCAGCTTATCAAACCTCTGGAACGCCTCCGTGTAGTTCACCATCCCAGCGCCCTGTAGCGTCCCGGTCGCCCATGCGGCCAGTGTGTTGTTCAGTTTGGTCACTACATTCTCCATCATAGAATCCGTCATGTTAGTTGGGTTGGTGCCGCGTATCCCCTGTAGCTCTGTCATCGTTATTAATTGACCGCCGTCACTGTCGTCTGCCGTTAGGGGGCGCAGTGTGTTCAGCCACCACTGACTGGGATCTACGTGTTGCCTGTGGGGGAAGAATTTGAGATATCTTACAAACTACCGGTATCTGCCTGTGATATATAAAGTACATGTATATAGGGGGTTACTTTTATTGCTGTTGGATATTGCAACTGAGAGGTTTTAATTAATTTTGCATTTGATATTAAAATAAAGTGTGGAATGGTAAATTCAACAAGACCATAATTAAATGTAAATCAAATGTACAAAATTGTAGAGGGGGACTTACCATACTTCAGGGTCATCGACAAACATTATCAGAAAGTCTGCAAAATTCTGAAGCGAATATATCCGACTGGCCAGGATAGGAGCGATTTCTTCCTTGGTGAGTAGACTGATTGCTCTACGTTTCCGTGTGAATGGTATGGGAACGGGTTGACATGCTCCGAGCAGAGTATGTATACATCTGTAGGATTAGATACAGGTATTAGTATAAGTATGGGTTTGGCAGTTCTGATGATACATGGAAAACATACTGGTATACTTTAGAAAATGGACGTGTACACTGTAAAAGTGAATGAAGCTATGACCATGCAATGATGCAAATCCCCGTTCTAAAGGGAAGAGCCCGGCCCAGTTGAACACCTTATTCTTGCGTGATATAACACTTGTAAGGTCGCAGAATGGTCCAATGCCAGCTTTACGCCAGATGCCGGAATACTGACCCTCCGTTAAGGTACGGATGTACCCAAATATAGCTAAAAATCGTCATTTTTGTTTTTTTATGTCTAATTATTGGTTAAATGTGTATCTAACGTTTAACATTTTGAACAAAAAAATGTTTTTTCTGAGGATTCTGATGCTGCACACATCGGCACCGGTGGCCTGGTCTATGCCCCGCCTTCGTTGTCAAGGGCCGTTGGCATGGGTTAACTCGGTGGGCGGACCTTAGCAGCATCAGCACGTCTAGGGAAACAATAGAACAGGGATGCGCCATGCCCCCTTTGTCATGTAACGTTAGTAAGTGACAGCATGCAGCGAATAAGAGCGGGGAGTGTTTTGTAATGTCACTTTAGTTGATTGACACGACCTTATTGTACTTAAGTGAAGAATGTAATGTAGACGGGGAGAACGATGTAAGAGGTTGAACGTAGAGGAATAAACTGTAGATAGCGTAGTTAGAAAGCGATAATAAAGAATATGGGAAAACATGGAATTGTTTAGTTATTACCTCGCGCCACCAAGACAAAGTCAGTAACGTCGTCACATATGGTGGAGGATGCAAAAAGATAAAGAGACTTTCGATATGAATAATGTCAAATAGAGAGGGACCAGTCACCAGACAGACATCCAGAGGAGAACGTATTCTATCCGAAAAGAAGATGGCAACGGGACAAACAAAGGAAATGAAAGGTAAGGAAGAACCTTTTGATTTTTTAGATATTCGAGACCAGTTAGAAGACATTCACATGAAATTAGATGTTATGGGTAAGGGCGACCCTCTTTTACATGCAGTTCAGAGGCAACTTACAGAGTTGAACGAAAAACCAACTTCAGTTTCTTCTGGTCCAAATATAGATACATTCTTTGGCTTTTCGACAGAAAACGCGCGGTTATGGCTTACGAGGTTCGAAAATTACTGCAATTTGAATAAATATTCCCCAGATCGAAAATTGCATGCCTTTATGCTATACATGAAAGGTCCTGCTGAAATATGGTTATCCGAATTGTCTGACGCAAGAAAATCGAGTTACGATGTTCTTAAAACCGAATTTCAAAACAATTTCGGCAGACAAACTTCAAAATGGACTAGAGAACACGAACTCGGAGAAAGAAAACAAGCAGAGAANACGAGTAAACTTTGATTTATATGTTATTGCATGTGGTTATAATGACACATTAAGTATTGTGTGTTGAATAATAAATACGTTTAGTATTTATAATATATCTATATTCAGTTTGTCGTTCTTATAGTTATTAGTTATTGATATTTAACTATACAGTTATTGGTATAGGACTTAAGATGATGACGTGAAACTGATGATATGCATTAAGGAAGATTCTTACTTAATTATTTTCCGGTATGTTTTTTGTTTAATCGTGGATTGGGTTTGATATAAAACGATTGTTTCTCTTATAGTCATTAAAAGAGAGCGCTACAGTGTGGACAAATATGAAGATGAACAGGTACTTCATCATGAACGATGCGCTGGTCGTACCGTTGTGGTGAATGCTGCTCATTAGACAGGGAAGGTACCGCCCGATTGTCTCACTTGGTGCATTCCTACTAAATCTAAAATGACAACCAAGGAAAAGAGAGAAACCGTAGGAAATGTGTCAGAGCCATAATAAGAGAGTAACAGATTTAAACATCTGCGCAGAGAAAACAATTAATAGTATCTGTACTCTTGGGCCGCACATTACAACATGTAAATGCACATCCACGAACAACCATATTTTCATAAAAAGTTATCAATCTATCTTCCTTTAAGTTATATTTGGAGTTTCATGTCAATTGTATTTCTATCTTATCGTAGGTTTATAATACAAAATCTATGTACTTAGTTTTGTTTTGCATGAATTTATGATAATAGACAAATGCAGTGTTTAAGAAAGTTTATTTTTAATTAAGGAATATTTTAATTTTAAATATGCCTAGGGACAGGCATATCGTCCCCGGGAGATAATGTAACGTTAGTAAGTGACAGCATGCAGCGAATAAGAGCGGGGAGTGTTTTGTAATGTCACTTTAGTTGATTGACACGACCTTATTGTACTTAAGTGAAGAATGTAATGTAGACGGGGAGAACGATGTAAGAGGTTGAACGTAGAGGAATAAACTGTAGATAGCGTAGTTAGAAAGCGATAATAAAGAATATGGGAAAACATGGAATTGTTTAGTTATTACCTCGCGCCACCAAGACAAAGTCAGTAACGTCGTCACAGTCATAAACAGCGATCGGCAAAGCAGTGCCTATTGTTCCGCTTAAGCTGTTTTGATAGTCACTCTTGATTGTGATCAGCGTTAAGATGAATCTTTTCCGACACATTGGATTTGCTCGAAATACGCGTTCTCCCTTGAATATTGCTTATTGTTACACGCGCTCTTTCGATTTTCTTGTTAACTTTTTGAGATACGCAAAAAAAAAGAAGAAAAGTCCGTTGCTTGCTACCCGTGACAACAATCGTCATACTTTCTATCCATTTTCGACAACAGCTCGATGCAGTTGTTAGATTTTAAAAATCTTGCCTGTCAATCATTCTGGCAGTGCTAGCGGTAACCCCTTGAAGTTACTAACAGGAGGTGAGATTGATACAAAAATAAGATTTTTTGACATCCAAATGCATGCAAACAAGCTAATTTCAACCGGCAATAGAGTACCCATCTTCGCGATCGTCAGAACGATAACAGGTAAAGCTGTCAACAATTTAATTTGCTAATTTGGACAATTAACCTCCCTGAAAGGGTTTTTGCTCGTTTTCTTTGCTTTCAATATTGACTAGATAGCGTTATCTTAGCAAGCTATAACTGTCTACCTGTACACCTGAGGGAGACCAAATTCACCATGCTAATTATGAAAAGTGTGCACTAAAAGTGCTTTTTAAGAAATTTTGATTGATCCTCTCTTTTCTAATTTATAGACTTTGAAAGTGAAAATTCCCTAATATTTTGATGTAATTTCACGTTTTTATAGATAAAATCAACAATAAGTGTCTGAAGAAAAATCCCTGACTCCATGCTGTAGTACTTTGTTCAAGTGTTAAAATGCCATCAAAAGCAAGTTTATAGCTGTCCAGGTGCCTGAGAAAATCAGGTGTATAAAAATGGTGTTTTTGTCCCCAAAATCCCAATATTACGTCACACGATGAAGTTAGAGCTGTGTTCCAAGCATAATTAGATATTTTGAAGATACATTAAATGAATGTGACAGGAATAAAAAAGCCAAGACCTTTATTTTAAGAGAAAATCTCAAACCTACATTAAAATATCAATTTTTACTGTGATATTTATTTTTAAAAACGTTTATTCAATGCTTTCAGAATAAAAACCATCTGGATCTTTCCATTTTCCCACAAATATCGGGCGCGTATTTGAGGACTACAAAAAAAGCAGCCATGAAAAGTCACCTACCTTAACCCTCCCCAAATTGGTGAAGCTGGCGCCAGGAATGGAACACAGGCAAAAGCAACGTCGGCAGCGTCCAGCAACCAGCCTACAGCCCCACGTCCCCCGAGTGCACCTGGCCGAAGTTTGGTCCCGACAGTGTACCCACAGGCAAAGGGAGCTTTAAGAGACGGTCAAAGCTCAAAGGAGTCTTATCATAGAAAACGCGTGTCAGTTTGCTTGGGTGTTGTTGCAGAGGATTGTTTTTAATTCACTTTTTTTCAGACGTACAGTGTATATAACCTGACATAACCTGTGTTACGAGTATTAAGTCGTATTTTTTTGTGACCGACTTCCTTTAAAACAAAGCAAAATATTTTAACAAACACGAAATAATGTAAATTATGAAAGCCATTTCAAAATTTTTGAAGATATTGGCATTCCCCTACAGTACTTACTGTAAGGTATATTTGCCAAGATACAGTCAATGGCGGTTACAGCACAGTTCTCACAAGACACTTCCCGTAAAACGACAGGTCCGGAGGCGCTTGCACCAGCATATCCTAGAACGTGAGGTGAATTTTTAATTTCTGTAACCAAAACACCAATAATGTTAGAACCTTCTACTGGTTAGGAAATTCTAAAATTAACAGTACTAGCTAAATGGATGAATATTAGCTAAGAAGATGCTTGTACATATAAGTAAATTTTTGTTTGGTTAATGCAAATATCATAAAATGTGCAATTATAGCTTTCATATAATGTTCACGTACTTTTATGTGGACATTATGACACTCACCTCTACAGCAGCCCAAGCGTCCCACGTGGAGGATACACCCCGAACTTCCGCTCCTTCGATGAGTAGGCAGAGACACACTACGCGTGATTAACGTTCTACAGAAATAGGAGTAGACGGCACGGAAAGAGAAACCGCATCTGAAATAAAATATTTAAAAATCCAGTCTGGCTGTGAAAACTAACTGCGTTATGATTTATATAAAAATATGCCTTTGCCGTAGTAACTTTTAAAGTGTAAATTTTGCTGTCTAAACATTCCGGTTGAGGCTACATGTACTACAAAACTACTATTTTTTTCGACCGTTTTGCAGTCTGTTGTATTGCAGTGCGCCTTCACCCAGAATGTCGCAGTTCCTGTCTAGTTAAAGGTCTACCGTGTAACTTCGATCAGGGCAACATCACATAAGGTCATTTAGAGCAAGGTGTGCTCGATTTCCTTAAGATGAATAATCAGTTACCAAAGTGTTACCGTCAGAAAATAAAAAAAGTCGATTTAAGAAGTTTCACGAAGTACATGCATATATCAGAGGTACGGACATATTGCACCATAAAAAGAGACCTAATGCAGCGTGCAAGGGTGCAGGTGGTGGGTATTAACTATTCCAAAAGGTCACATGCCAGGGGCAAATTGTCAATTTAAAACGTGATATCGGAGTTAGAATAAAACAGACAAGATATCCAGTAACAATTTTAAAGGCCAGATATCCAGTAACAATTTTAAAAGGCCAGATATCCAGTTACAATTTTAAAAGGCCAGTTTTCATAAATGCATGCGTTCTTTTCAAATCTTGCCCGATATAGGTCAATCAGTTTGGGCGTGACCAAGTTTTCTCTAAAGGACCATTCCCAGCCCTACTAGCTTACTAACTTTGGATTGATCTATCTATTGGGGATTCTCGCTAAACTGCTATCATTTACAGCGGCTCAGATGTCTGCCAAGCCTATTGAAGCTGCTAGGGGGTAGATAATGATCGTTTAGCAGCTTTAATAGGCGTGTCAGACAACTAAGCCACTTAAGCTGAAAGCAATTTAGCAAGAAACCCCTTGGAGATGGATCGATCCTGTTAGATCGATCTAGGCATGGGATCCCAGTCTTAGACTCACCCCGATCCTCCTGTGGCTCGTTTCCTTCTCACTGTGGCTACAGCAGTGGCCTCGTCAGGGTGAGCGCCGCAGCCATAAACCTTCACCGAGAACTGGATGGAACTGTTGGCGGGAATGTCGCCGAAGACAGTGTCGTCTGCCTGGAAAACAGATTCAAAAATTTAAATTCGAAGCAAAGGGTATCATATTTTTGATATTAATATACAGTGAAAGAGTTTGCTTCAGAGTATGCAGCACAGTTTTTTCAGCCCGAGTCTTATTGGTAAGAAAATTTAAGATTCAGACATATCCGATCAAAAAAGCACTAGGCTTTATTTGATTACAGCAAAGCCTTACCAATCGAAATCTTAAAAACGGGTGATCGCTGGCTGACGGCAAAGAGAAACCGAAATCGTTTGCCCGTATGAGCCCATGGTTTGTGGCTGTAATAGTGATGGTACTATAAACACAGCTCTCCAGTAAGTCCAGGTCCAGTGACTTTGGCTCCAGAGTGACCACAGGGATCGGGACCTGAGTTGTAAAATCTGCTTCCAACCTTATTATGTACTCATCTGTGAACGTTACGGGTGTCACGAACCATCTGCAGGAAATAATGTCATAAGCTATTGTATATAATACATGATGTTTAAATGTACATGTTGCAGTATCATGTAGGAATGATATGAGAAGTATTTGAGGTTGCGAAACATTAAAACTGCCAAGACTTTTATTTCTTGAGGTAAATTACCGGTAGAGTGCTTACTTATCTCAATACAAATCCATAACATTTATATTATGTCGGAGTTTATCTACTTGTATTGTTTGATGTAAAATAATAACAAAAATAGCAGAACTGAAATATTTAATACTACAGCTTTTACTAAATATCTTAATTAGGACTTAATCTGGTACACGTATGCAGGCATACAGGCAACATCATAAGCGGCAGAGCAGAGACGCTGGCCCTATCTCTCTCTCCTTTCTCTCCTTTATCTATAAAACGCTCTTTTAGTCCAGTGACAGAGAACAGATGTTAAAGAATACAAAATCAACTTTTTAACTGATATGAGGGTGACAGGCAGATACCTGACGGTGACTGTAGTTCTCTCCAGAAAGACGCGAACAAGATTCTGCTCCCTGTTGGCTTCAATCACCTTGGAAACAGGAGTGTGCTCGTCTGCCGAGGCGTAGACATCATAGAACGACTCCAGTACGTCCCTGAATACGGCAATGCCTGGAAAAATGGGGATAACCAGAGAGGTAAATGGAGACACTCTTTTCTCGATATGTATCAGTTATTGTTAGTTTAGTTAGGCAAGCCTATGAATGAAATACATACGCTGTGGTTCCTGGGAGGAAAGTAACCAAAATAATAATAGGAGGACTAGAAGAAATTGTTATTATGGAAAATGTATAGTTTTATAGTTTTGGCCATTGCTAAGTCTATTCGCATGTGGTCTTGCTGGTCTTGTTTTCTACGCTTGTCTAACGGAAAAAATAATGGCACATACCCGAGGCATTGGTTACGGCGGTTAACCGAATATTTTCCAATTTATTTCTCAGTGTTACTGTAGCGTTGGCAAGATACGGCCTGTCGTCTGCGAAGTACGTGTATTCATCCTCCGCAAGAACTATTATGTCGACGAGCCGTGAAGAGACAGTGGTGATTCTGTAGAAAAGGAGTAAAAAAATGTTGTTTCACACAAATAACTATGTATTACTGTCTTGTACAACACTACAACATAATATCGATTCACAGAACAGCAAAGAAAATGAAAAAAAAATGAAATTAGTATAGGGTGAACGAAAAAAATCTGCCTAACCTCAATAACGAATTATTTGTTAGCTCCCTTTATTAATAGCAGGTGACTAAATTCACCAAGCAGTGTGTCGGATTTTACTATCCTAGCTCTGTGGTTAAGCTGACCATTTAATAAATGCTGACCGTTTAGAGATGGTTCCATTAGATCATAAGGCGTTAAATGTAGGCCTACAATTCTTTACTTCTCACAATAATGAAAATCCAGAAACTCATTTACATGTCCATATATCGATATCATCACGGGATATTACCTAAATCCTAAGTCTGAACCAACTTCATCAGACCGAACAGCAATGTTTCCCGTTGTTCTGCCTAACGCAGCGTCTTCCTGCACCCGTGCCGAAAGGATCAGAAGTGCCGACTCTCCAGGTTCTAGCTGAAACTTACGTCCGGCAGTTGATGGATCTTTTACCTTGCTGAACGATGCCAGGGATAAAATGTCCACTGTTGGCAGTATTACGTGAACGTTGTGCGCCGCGACGAGGCCAGTATTTGTGACATTTACCTGGATTTAAAAAGAACGACATGTAGGCCTAATATTGTTTTTATAGAAGTACATGAGTTTATTAGAAATACATACGTTTATTAGAAGTGCTGTGTCTATAACCCCATGTACATGTACAGTGTATAAATACCTCAAAGAGCCGAGTACTGCCCCTTGCAATGGCCGCCGTGAGAGTGTTTGGGGTCAAGGTCAGGGCGGGAAGCTTAAGCTGAAATTCAAACTGCACGTTGACCGTGGTGACCACGTATTCCGCACTCCTGAAGGTCAGTCCAAAGTAGCCTCGAAGGGGCTGTGCAGCTGCAAAATGACAGATATTATCTTTACTCACAACCTAAAATTATAACTTAATGCGTAAAAACTTAAACGGTAAACGATTATCCAAAAGACTGAAATTGATTGAATTCAGACCTTTTATTGAAGACGAAAAACTGATAGGAAAAAAAGACGAGAAGAAACAACCAATGTTGGGAAAAAGGGATATAAATAATTTGCATATACGACATGGTTTAATTAGCATAAGGCCTACACTAAAATATGCATACCAGAAAATGTCAAGTCCAAGAAGATTTGTTCTCCAGACGCCAGCACATGCTGTAAGTGACATGGGAACGCTGTACATGCCTCCTCCTGTCCCGCTTGCTGTACAGCCACAATGTCCCTAGCGTAGTCCGGTATCTGAATTTGACGTAGATAACTTAAAGGTTTGCAAACTGTGGCTACATGACACTTTACAACACAGCATAGCTTTTAGTACCTGTACATCTAGCCATATTTATTAATCACATAATGTGGGGCAAATGTTAATATACACATTATGAGTGTCTAATTGTGATGTCAACGGCAGCTTTTCCTACTTGGTTGGTTTTCCTTTTCAAACTAGGTTGGTTTACCTGCACAGTGACGTTGTGAAGTACATCGGCCCCAATGTTGGTCAGTGTGATCCTGCTCTCAGTGGTATGTGGTGTCAAGTACCCACTGACCGTCAGTGCCCCCGGGGTGGCTCTCATGCCGTGATACGACCACTGAGTCTGGTCGGTGTCCACCGTGTCTGCTGGATGAGCGGCACCCTATATAATATATATCATATCATTTTATAATAACGGACCAAGACAAACATAACTGCCTGCTACGTACGTATTTTACAATAGCTGCTTTTAAGGAATGTCATTACCCTCCCCGTACTATAGGCCTACCCTGTATGTGGTCGGTACTCTCAGGTTAAATGCTAATGATCCGTCCCGTACCATTTCTTATTATCATCTGATAATATTAAGCAGACATTTATGTGTCCTTACACTGTGTATTCAAAACAATTATTTCCTCTTATAATTAAGGTGTAAAAGGGTGGCGATATCCGATTCAAAGGAAGGGGTGTACTGTAGACCTACAGTAACACGTACATGTTGGAACTGTGCGTATAGAAATATCAATAAAAATATGTACACTAGTAAGCCTAAGTGACCTTATTGTTTAAGTCTACTTACTGCCTGGAACAATCCTGCTTCGGAAAACAATGGATAAAACCAGACAGAAAATGTCCCATTACTTGTTGTGGAGGTTTCTAGCACACGTCGTGACCCCGTGGATTTCGATAAAACGCTAGGAAAATGAACAGGTACTGTTAACCTCACGCAGCACACAATGAACTTATTGAAACAGGAACGTCTCACGTCAATAATGACAGGCATTTTTAAACAGCTGTACTCTCTATAAATCCCACCTAGGCCTAATATTGCTCCGTCAAATGTAATCTTAACTGATTAAGTAAGTACAATCTCTCTCTCTCCCCTTTTTAGGGATAAAAAACTTACACCACTTGAACTGGTACAACCCCAACAGCCGCCCCATCCACAAACACCACCTTCCCTTCCAGGAAAATAGGGGTTGCCCTTGGATACGGCCCGTACGGCACGGGGTCCAGCATGGCGGAGTATGAAGGCCGCACGGTCACATTGAACTGCTTCGTGTCCGAGCCGACATCATTACTTGCAGATACACGGACAGTGTGTGGTTGCCATGAAGGTACTGGTGAGGTCCACTGGATGTACTGGGCAGCCGAGTCCAGTGTCATGCCAGACGGTGAGGATTCAAGCCTCCACTGAACCGGAGAAGAGCCCTAGATAGAATATAAATGGATGAGTTTTTCTTATGTTAAGGCGTACGTCAGAAATAGGGAAAAGAAACACACGCACAAACACAGACACACGTACGCAAACGTTTAAAAACACAAACTAACACATGCGCACCTTACTTAATGTTTTCTGCATTTTAGAAACGCGCATGTTTATGTTTAGTGACTGTTAATAGGCCTATCTGTATATTTTAGAGGTAGCTAAGTGTGAATAATTGTTGTATTCAAAATACTTCGAAATAATTGCCATCATTAACAATATATTTTGTCTATTCTATGATACGTAGAAAACTGGACATCGAATTGTTTCATAAAGCATGTAGTGCACACTCTCCAGTTTTGCCTCAAAACAATTTTGAACAAGATCTAAATGGCTTTAATCGTAACTCCCCCCCCAGTATATTGAGTTTAAAAATTCGCAACAGAACCAAAAATAATTTAAAGACATCTAACAAAAACACTGACTTCCGTAAGAGTGAGGAGGAACGCCAGTTCTTCTCCTTGTAATATGACTTTGTCCGGTATGTTTGCAATCCTGGGCACCAGTCGCAACACTCCACAGTTGTCACCCGACCACGGCCGGTGACAAACACACTCCCCGTACGAACATATCCCTCTCGTTGGTTGAAGCTGGCGTCCACAGGCGTCCTGCTCGCACGTGCCGTAATAAATGTAGTTGACCTGCAAGAGTTGGCGTAAACATTTAACCATACCTTTTTATCAGACCCTTACCAAAAAGTCCTATAGGATCCTATAAGATCATACATGATCCTATAGGAAATTGGCCCAGGATCTTAAAGGAACCTATAGAAATCCAAATGGTAATCAAATGTAAAAATTACATGACGACGGTATACTTCAGCTATGAAATCACAAATGTGATTTGTTGCTGTCAATAAACAGTGATTATGGTCGTCATAACGACATACCATGTCAGTGCTGTAACTGTCCCCAGCGCGTGGTCGGATAGAAACGAGAATTGTGGCTGGGGCTTGTCTTGGCGCAACACACGTCACTTCCTCTTCCGTCAACCACGTGCCGTCGACTTCAATGGAGCCAAACCTGGATACAAATATGTAAACACTTTCAAACATTTGCACCGTACTTTTTACTACATGTACATGATAACATATTCATTACAGCCAAGGACTGCATTAACAAACTGACTTCTCAGTTAGTGATTATTTAAAATAACTGGAACATTTTCATTTTTTTCAGTGTTAGAGAATGCTGTGACATTTGGTTATTTTTATCAGTTTTAAATGCAAGTAACATGGCATGTACTATTGGAATAAGAAAATATATTTATATAGCTTGCTTTAACATCTTAAAACTTAGACAATGTCAGGACCAATCAAATTTTAACTTAAAAGTTAAATGCATGGGTTCTGGACAATATTTAACTAAAATTGCCACAAAATTCTGATATAAACATCACCTGCAGGTGTACTCAGACGTATTGGGAAAGTTGTGTCCAAAAACATGAACCACGGTCCCGCCAACATCCGGGCCACCATTGGGAGCCAGAGAAAGAACTTTGAGCAATGGCAGACATGCCGGGCCATACAGATTGTCACTGCAGCGGTCGCACAGTTCTCCAGTAAAATTAGGGCCGTTGCATGTACACTGACCTACAATAAAAAGAGGCAGCAGTTTCCATTTGTTGATGACTTTTGCTTTTTTTTAAAACTATATATCACGCAAGTATCGATAAAATTAGACGAAAGCAAACTTGCGCTGTATATAGAACGGAGCTTCAATTTATATCAACACATCGAGGCTTTTCGAACATACTTTTATGGCTTTAATCTACGTCACTTAAGTATAAAATATAATTTTATAAGTAAAATTAGTCTGGCATTTTACAAGTTGGCCTATCCATGTACATATATCCATGTCCCATACGGCTAAAGCAGAGGTCATAATAAAAACTGATAAAATCGTTTAAATATACAGTAACGCACTCTTCAGTAATTCATGTAAAGAAGGGTTGTTGGCAGTGACATGACGTACCCGTGGCCTGGTCACACACCCCGTTTACACAGTCAGGACAGGGCAGGCACTGAGGACCCCAGTGGCTAGCAGAACACTCTGAACAACTGGTCCCTTGATACTGAGGGAAGCAGCGACATCTGATGAGAAAATGACGCAGATTACGAACAACGTAAAGGTGAAGTGTACATGGAAATAATCCCCCTCCAGTGCGCAATCTCTCTGGTCAAGTGGGACCTCAACTAATACATAAAGAATTAACCACAGTAAACCAACATTAAAAAGCTGTTCCTTACTTAACGTTCAGTAATAATAAACTTAATAAATGTTGCAAATAAGACGTACCAAATAACATTTTGTATCCGAACCCACCTGTTTGGTTCTACGCAGATGCCATTATTTGAGCAGTCATTCACGTCACTACAGCTGGCGGTAACACATGCTGGCGGTAACCAGCCGTTATCACACTGACACGTGTTCGGCCCAATACAAGTGCCACGCCCTTGACACTCAAACACCTCAGCACAGGAAAACTGGGCACAGTCCGCCCCTTTCCAGCCAACATCGCACTCACAATAGTCGAACCTTATACATAGACCGTTCCCAGAGCAGTTCTTGACGTTGTCACAGGTCGCTTCCGGAGAAGTTAAATATGGCACATAGGTCACATTGCCGAACGCCGCGTCCGTTTCCTTACTTCGAATACGGGACCTCACCTGTTCTATATCTGGACTACCCCACCAGTTGTGAGTGGCATCTAGAATTTCATCCGTGGAGTGGCTCGCCTGTAGATCGTAGGTAGACACTGGGTTTGAGAAAATGTTGTAATTGATGCCAACGCTGGCAGAGTCTGACACAATGACTGCCTCAGTCGCTCTGTTTTCTTGAAAAAAGTTGACTTTCAACTGCCTTGCGCAGCTGGAGCCGTCGGACAGATGAAGAACCGAGTCCCCGGCGTTGTCGATAAAATAATTCCCTATGAATGAGTTGTTGCGTTGAACACCATAAGTTCTGGTTTGGATTTGAACCACCGGGCCCGATAACACGCTGTGTTTTTCAAAAAGGTTGCCCTCAACGACCAGCTCACCTCTGCAAGAATCGTGCACTACTAAAGCTGTGTTCCTGTTATTCACTACCTTATTGCCGGTAAAACTCACACGGTAAACTGTACTTTCTGAATCTAAGGCAAGATACACTCCCTTATTGTTTTCTTCAAAGGTATTATTGTTTATATTGACAGGGCGATTTATACTGCTAATGGACAATCCCCAATCACCGGAATATGTTCCGGTTTGTTTAATTACATTTCTTTCAATGTTCATCGGGTCCTCTTGGTTCCTCACGTTGATGATGATCCCACTTCTCCGAGTATTCGTTACAAAACTGTCACGAATATTTACACCACCACCTACGTACCGTTTCTGTACACCATAACTGTTGCTTGCATTCACGGTTGTATTGGTAATAGCCAACATCCCGTCAGCATCACTTCCAATTCCAGAGTAGTACGTGTCGTGCACTATTGTCCCCTCTACAATTAGACCACCTTTCTCCTCCATATAGATACCTTGTTGTCCAGTGTTATTGACCGTGGAATAGCTGATCTTCACGTGGGAAGTGATGTTTTTTAGGTGCGCGGCTATCCCCATGCGACTGCAATCTGCCACGACACATGAATTCACGGTGAAGTTGTCTCTGTGGATTGTTAAGCAAGTTGTTGCTCGTTTGATAGTGATAAATGACAGTCCCGGGTTCACAACGTCTACAAATATTATTACAAATATTAAAATCATTAAAGATTGAGAGTTTAATTTGAGCGTAATATAGTCAAGAACACTACAAGAAAATACGTGCCATTTATTCGTTAACAAAATGAAAAAAATCAATAAAATTGGCGGCAGATAATCTCTTAGTTTTTTATCACCCACTCACTTTACCAGCAAGGATTTTTTCAAGAAGAACTCCTACCCGGATTTGGTTCAAAAACAATTCCATTCCAACGGTTACTGTCTGACGTCATGACGACAGAAAAGTTATTGGCGTTGTTAAGTATCAGTTGACCTGGAAATGAAATATTGAGTAGATAAAGTAGAAGTAGAAAAAAAACATAATACTGACATTGAAGGGTGGTGATATGCACTTAAAATGACGTACTACAAGAACCAGTTTACTTCTGTCAGTTAACATGATTTGAACGTGTCTTAGATGCGATATTGAGTTAGATATTCTAGTGTGTTAGAAGTGACGATGTTGTAGTTGTGCTAGCTGTAATGCTACCATAAACTGTGCATTGCATACATCAATATATTCAGTTGAAGTTGAGAGTGAAACAGGTGTGCAACGATTCTATTCATAATGTGGTGACGCATTTGGCGAGACATTTTGTCTTCTTTATTTTTCATCGATCGAATTGTCACAGATAATATCTAAAGGTTTTGTCTCTCCCCCCAAAAATTGTCAATTTAAAGCATTGATTTGAGAAACATGCAATTTACACTAACCTGCTATAATCAACCCTCTTCCTGGCTTAAATGACAAAACCAGTCCTCCCGCTCCCACCGTCACTGATAGTATCCCGTTTGTCCTAATAATAATAATAATAATAATAATAATAATAATAATAAATTAATTATGATAAAATAAATAATAGTTATTCATTTCTTGTCATGTTTATACAGTTAAAGTACAGGGGTATAAATGAAAATTAACTTGATCTGTCGTGTCGCCCTTAGACGGCGCCATCTTTAATGAAGTTTGTCCTGTTTGATATTTACAGAATACTGAACGTTAAATATTGATAAATATGCAAAGTATACGACAAAGACGCAAGTATTGGGATAAATCACCGTTACATTTTTTTCTCCTCTTTAATTTGCCAAATGAATCATATTCAAAATTATACAACTGATAAGCTATAAACTAAAGGAGTAGAAGGTAAATAAACTTGCTTGCACTTCATTCATTAACGTGTTTCATTAACAAAAAAACAAAAAAAAAAAAAAAAAAAAATTAAGTGAAGCTGTAGTAAAAAGTGGCACGTGCATAAAAGCATATTTGGGATCCTAACCAAGGTTTTGGATCCTGTTCCAGAGATAATATACCTGATTACAATACTTCTTTCTATAACGACATGCCCCTCCAAGGTACCGGTATCCAGGAGGGCGTCGACGTCACCGCCGGCGTTCATGACGTCACCGAAAGTCCAGTTGTGTGGTTTGTGGACAGGTGGGAGACTCAGGTCTGCGTTTAAGTGCATGGGCCACAGTTTAACATCAAAACGACCAGTGTTGTCAAATATACTACATATTCTGGAAAAAATAAAAAAAGTTAATGGTGCTGGCATAAACATACCCATACCAAACAGGGCGATCTCCCCCCCCCCCCAAAAAAAAAAAATCCATCCATGCTTTGGTTATCAAATATGCAAGTTTCTGAGGACTTTTTCATATGTATATTTAGAAAGTCTTTACAAAAGCTGTACCGATCGCATACCGGTATGTAAATGTTAATCAAGCCAAATCCCTTGTTGTTATGTAGGACATATATTTTTGTTATCCAATCATCTACTAATTATTACACAAGCAGCACACTTGACTGCAAATGTTAACCTTAGAAAAATCCATTAAATTGCCCACCAGAGAGAATATCACTGATGTCCATAACCGCCCAATGAGATTTCGTGCAAGTAATAAAATCTAAACAATAGCACTGAGGAATTGATCCTAGTAAGGCATGATTAAGAAAAAAAAAAAAGATTCCAATTTTAGAGCTTAAAAGATATGTGGGGTTTTCTTTTCTGTAATGCAGTATAATATGAACCGCTGTTAACCATACTGTCAACAATACAATGATATTTTCATGAAATTTATCGTGAAAGTGGGTGTGCAAAAGTTCTGACGAAAGGTAACGATATTATAGTACTCTGTTAACCTCTTCCTCACCTGGTGTATACCTCCTTAGTGTCGTTAACTCCCCAATAATTTCCCGATGCATCAATATAAACCAGCGGCTTATACGAGGGTACTTTCAATTCACACATGGCGGACGGGTTGTCGAAACTATTTCCACGAATGGTGACATCGTACACGCTCTCCATGTAGACGGTATACAGGTCGTTAAATCGGCTTCGTGGACTACGGGTCATGTTGAAAAATGTGTTGTTGATAATAGATATTGATCCAGGATTGACCTCATCAGAACAGTATCTACACCAAAGGTAGATGGAATATTCGTACGTGTTGTTCACCATCGTATTGCCAGTTACCTAAAACACAAAGGCATTAGGTACATATATTTCCAATACTTTGTATACTAATGGGGATATGTACGAACTTCACATCTTACACATATCAGTTGTTTCGATATTGTGATTGCCATCTCTCCCGATGTTATCTATTATTTTGTAAAAAAAAGGAATTCCACCATAAACATTGAAAAAATAAACCGTCAAAGTCGTTAACATCGTGGTCGATGCAAAGTACGCCGAAAACAGCGCAGGTTTTCAATAATCATTACAGGTAAACTGGTATACTTGTAGACTGTAAACCTATGGCAATGAAGATACAATTACTCAGTGGACATACTCACGCTATAGATTCCCGGGGTTCCCTCACTGTCAAAAGAGTCAAACTGCACTTCCACAATACCATAATCATTAAAGTAGTAGCCACCTGGAGTATCAGGTTGGGCCCTATTCTCTGCAAATATGTTCCTTGCTATAGAAAATGCTGGCATTGAGTCCCTCTGCACAACGACATTGATAATTTTTTCTGTATTTCTCCTGAAGACATTGTCCTCAATTATGAATCTTTCAATTGGAGTCATCGTCCCATCCGCTGCCACCAATCTGATTCCCCCACCGTTATTTTGAACGAACTCCGAGTTAACAATCTTCAAGCCTAGTACGCTTTCTCCATAGACCGCTTGCCCGCCACTGTCCGTTACTCGAACACTACGCAGACTTACGTCTGTCCGTAATATATTAATAGCATGATTAGTATTATTAACGAAGGTGCAGTTTGTTACCAATATCTTGTTGTTGAGCTTAGGATCGGAAACACCGATGACTGAGAGACCATGACCTTGGTTAGATGAAATGATACACTGAGAAATGGCGACATCCTCCGGAATATACCCCGAGAGTGTGAAACCATTCTCAGAGCTGTGGGTAATTTGGAAGTTGTTTAACAGGGGTGGGGTACCCTGTACAGTTATTCCACGCAGTGAATAGGCCACCACGACATGCTCCATGGAGGACCGTTGGGGCTCTGAAAAAAAAGAGAGAGGGAGTATTTGCAAAGTCACCCTTGTAACGAAATCTGTATTTATTACCTTCTTAAAAAGAATAAAGAATTTACTGTTCCCTATATCATTTCCTTAAAATACGTTTGAAATCCACTTCATATATTTTTTACATTGCAGTTTGGCGTTAAGAAAGCTAATTTTATGAATGGTCACTGCCTGGGACCGTCTTAAATATGCCTGAAAGAGCCAGCAGATGAAATCACGAAGGATTCCTATGTTAAATGTGTGAGGTTCAAATACCTTCCCTTCTCCAAAATTGTTTTGTTTCACTTTATTAAATATACATGTGCATGCATGGTTTCTAGAATGCATCCCTTAAAAACAGGCCTATAATCTGGTTTTAAAAGGCTGTACATCAACTAACAAGTGTACCGCCTATCTTTGACAAAAAAGAAAAAAAAACAGTTCGTATAACATACGTATAACATTAGTAAAACACTGACTATTGTCCTCAAGCTGCGATTAGCCAGTAAAAGTGAAATGTTTTCGATATGGAGGTCTGTTAAAATGCCATACGTATTTATTGACATCAAGCATGTACCGGTAAAGTGCAGTAAAGTATAATTGCGCCTGACTGGAAAAAGTGTACATCAGAGATAAAAAAATTGTATACTACCCGGTGTGAATGCCACACTGCCTGCAACACCGTTGGGGAACGTAAAGTGTTGCCATTACTCACCCTCCGTCGAGCCTGGAGCACAAATAACACCAGCTATATTCCCATCCCTGCAGGGTGCGGTAGGCCTACACGCGCTATAGCAGTCTGGGTCATCTCCACAGTGATAACAGTCCTGGGGAGGTCCATCGTTGTTGTCTCCAAAATTTCCCCCACTCCTCTCACACAAAGATGCATAGCATCTAGCAAGGCATGCCGGGTTCCCGTTGCAGTAGCGGCAATCTTCTTCAATATAGCTGTTATCAGGAGTGCAAGCATCACAAGACTGTAGGTAACGCTCGTTTCCTCGGCAGTATCTGATGAGAACGTGATATCGGTCAGGTTCTCCACGACCAAAGCTGAAATTGTCAGAATTGTGCAGTGTGATACTGATTTAATAAAGCATTACTAAATGAGTATTTGACTCTTAAGGTAGTGGCGTGGGTACAGGATTTGTTTCATAACCAAAATTAATAACCAGTCGTGGGATTTGTGATGTATGTGATAATGTGGTCCTGCTTTGGTTTTTATCTTATTACGCTGTGTCCCATTTCTCGTGTGTAATCTTCTACATATGTTCTCTTTGATAAAATAAACACCCGCGTGGAAGATATAGAATTTATACAAAAACAGTTAACAAACACAATTAATTGTGATTTCCATCGTTTTGGAAAATGACGTTTCTTACCGTGCAACCGTATCGTTCACAACTTCAACTGCTTCTCCAAAACCTAGCTGTTTGCAGACAACATTGGCGGCTGCCATGGTCCACCAACGAGAACCGCACACAGAATGCCACATGTCATTGTAGTACACTTCAACCCTTCCCTCCAACGAACTACTGCCATTTACGAGTCGAAGATTAGGATCTGCATTGATACATGTGTCATATGATGACATGGTGTGACGACAGTGATATATACATATATAGCGCCCATATGCTAAATATACATGTAAAGTTATGTGTCAAATGTACGCATATTACTCTTGACATAATACCCAAATACAGCACACACATTCAGAACTGACAGCAAATTCGAAAATAATAACTGTACATTTAAGTACATGTAAAATTATGAAAAAGTGTGCTAAGCGTACTAACTTACCGGTAGCTCTTTCCTTTTTTGTGGAATGTTTATTATCAAAAAATAACATGTTTGTTATAAGAGTATCTTGTGAGGTTTCATAAACTCACTTGATAAATAAGTCGAAAGGTTAGTGCGACATTATTTATGTTACTTCACTTATCTAAAACTAAAATGTACAGTGACAGCATACAAAATGATGAAACGAATACATAATGCAGTGAAAATTATTTTAGATTACTAGCTCCAAATGATTCATCAAGGCAACCTCGTATTCCTGTTTAGCTTTTTTTTTTCTACAAAGCCAACTGTTGCTGTACGCTCACCTGGGAGGAACTGTTTAAACGTCACTCCTCGCCACACCTGTCCCTCTACACCTTCCATAGTTATAACAGCGTCTGGTGTTCCCACCGACACCAGTTGACCTGAAACGCGATAAAGTTAGTTATATTACAACCATAAAATTATATAATTGAAGTATGTACGTGCATACATCTTCTCAAAATCAATTCTATTAAGTTTGGGGGAATGGTCCAGCTCATCGCACAATTTAACCATTTTTTGAGAATATGCGCCATAAAGCATATACAGTATGTACTACATGTACCTGATGGAAATTGGAGAACCGAGAACGAATTTAACATACAGAAAAAACTTGTTTTTACCATTTCAAATCGAAAACCGTCATTTTAAATTGAAAAGTTATAAGGATATAAAAAGTGAGTAAACACAGCTTGTAACCTTCAACGTCCATTCCAATCCCAGGGTGAAAACGAAGTGTTGTCCCTGGATCGATAGTTAGAACGGCATCTTCTGGGACCAGTATATCACGAACAACTTCATATGGATTTTCACTGAAATTAATTTTCATTGCCCCAATCACAGTCCCTCCAATTCTGTTGTCCCCCAGAAAGAACGGCGGCTCCAGATCACTAATTGCTGACAAATTGCGTGCTGTGAGATACGGTTGGAACTGAACCTGTCCCACAACAGTGTAATCGTTGTAATCATAGATACGCTCTACCACGTGTGAGAAGTCGCTGTCACCCCACCAGTTGTACTTAGCATCGACAGGAATGCTCTCTGGGTTGTACGCAAATGAAACCCCGAGGTCGTTAGGAGAGTTAGGATTGTCAAAAAAGTTTTCTGTTATATTGGTGCTGGGAGAGAGAAGATGCACGACGTAGCCGCTGACGGTATTATTACGGAATGTGTTTCTGGTGACATTTATATCTCGAGTCTGAAGGTCCCTGGTGTCCAAAACAACGAGAGATGACCCAGCCTCTGTGTCAGAGAATATGTTATCAGTAATCTCAAATAATCTCGAAGATACGTGACAACATGTTGCTGTGAGGAGAATGGCGGATGCGCAGTTTTCAAAGGTGTTGCCTTGTATAAATGCATACGGAAGGCTTTTCGTGTACCAGGATAGGGACGCCCCTCGAGGAGACGAGAAGAAATTATCACGAACATCGTAAATGGCATTACTTGCGTAGTCCGTCTTAAAGTGTGTGGCATTCGTTGTGCCGTTAGACTGAATGGTGTTTCCGGTAAGGTGCACCACAGAATCCTCCTAAAATCATGGACAGTTTGTAAATGTAAAACGATCGGTTTAAAGTTTGTGACACTATGTAAACGCATGATATTGATCGACTGCATATTTTAAAAACAACAAAATACTGTTTTCATGCTAGCAGAAGACTGAACGGTCGTTTTCCATGCGTTCACCTTATGTAATTGACCAGTATAAAACACTACTGTATGTAAAAGACACAAGCATTTGAAAATATATGCTTTTAATCATACTGAACCAGTGGCCAAAACCTTTAAATACATCATTCAACAAACTGGGAAAGCAGTTTTTAAAAAAGCTCCAATATGACAACTCACCATCTGACGAAGCAAGAGTAGTTCCTTTGTTCCAGCAAAACGAGAATTGCTGAAGGTAACGTTACAAGCAGAGCAGCTCACGTTAACAAAACTGTCCCCCCAAAAATTTGACCGCTGTATATCTAGAACCAACGGCCCTGGGTTTTCACCAGAGGTTACCACGAGCCCACTTCCTGAAACCATATTTCGTAGCTCGCAATTGTCCAGTTTCACCGCCTGGGGGTAGGGACCTGTCACGATGTAGATACCGGCAAAACTACATGCCTCTACCGACGTGTTTTGAAAGCTCACACCAAGAAAGCTTTCAACTTTGACCCCAATTGTCGCACCGCTGATGGTCACGTGGTTAAAGTTCGGAATATCAGCACCTACAAAAGTTTATAAGCCTTTTCTTTTTTTGAAAATGAAAATGAACACTTTTTCTATACGCCATTTGTTAAAAAAAGTTATGCATTGAAAAATTACGAAAAAATGAAAATGCATTTAGTACATGCACTAGCAATATTTTAAAACATCAAACCTGACATTCGCTGCTATTCCGTCGCTTTGCAATACTCCCTTACCATGCTCATATTTAATTTACTTACTTGAGATTGTGCTCCTTTTTCGTCTTTCAGGTGGGACAGGTAAGTTCGGAAAATTTGGATCATCTGGGAAAACTGTAGAGGTTAAGGGAGGGCTCGGACCTGGTGTATAAAAATGTACCACATAATGTTAATATCGGTTCTGTGAAATTGCCTAACTAAATTCAATCCAATATTCATGATTTTAATATTCACACTTGCTTGCTAATTGTCTTCATTTTTTAGGTCCGCCAATTCCCATTTTCTAAGCACGAATAAATAAATAAAAAAATTAATGTGACCATCACCAACTGAGGAAGAAGGTAGTTATTCTTACTTTAAATACATACCAGTAAGCTCTGAGAGAAATACACCTCCCCATCTTGTCTCAAACGCTTTCAGTTGTATAACATCAGAGGCTGTTCCGTCGCAGATGAACACACCTGTAAATTGAAAACACAATGGAAATTCTACTACATACGCACGAAATATGCTGCAATATGTATATGCTCAAGCGGGAATCAATATACAAACGGATATGTACACGCATAATGTCGTACGTGAGGGCAATTTAACAAAATAACTAATTGTATAACTAGTTTAAAGTGGCATATACATGTAACTCTGTGGAAAAATAAGCTTTTGTCTGATAAAGATACAACTCACCATCTACTACAATTCCTCTGTTGTCCATGAATGCTAAGATCGCACCAGGAGCAACGGTCAAACTGGTACCTTCTGGGACATAAATGGTATACAGCACCTTTATGTAGGACACAGTTCCATTCGGCAAAACGTCAGCATCAATAACAAGGTCGCCAGACACGGCTCCTCCTATACCATCAGGGCCACTGCTGTATGTCCTGTTTATTATGCCATGTGGACCATCCACCATTGTGGACACGTTTGTAAGAAGAAAAGGGGACAGATCAGCTACAGCAAGTTGACTGTTGGTGTAGAACTCTTCCACGCGGGATGAGATATTGTGAGGATCTTCAGTTCCCCAGTAGTTATATTTCACGTCGTAAACTTCATCTCTGTTCCATAGCCTCCTGAAAACGATTTCCTTCGCAGCTTCAAAGTTTTGAAACACGTTTCTATTGATGGAGAAAACAGCTGGTTGTCCGAGAAGCAACGTTACAGTGGCCAAGTTATCAACAAATACGTTATCTTCAATGGCACCAGTTGCAGTACCCCCTTCTGTACTTGAGATCTCCAAAACGGCGTCACCAGAATTAAAGCTGAAAGTATTATCTTTTACCAAAAGCGATGAAGCGTACTGCCCAAAGGTAATAGAAACCTTGTTCATGGCGTTGATGAAAGTGTTAGACGTTAAATTTGTCTCTCCGCTTGACCCATATAATATTAAAGGGGCAGTGGTATTGAAAATGTTGTTGTGAACAGAAAGGCGAGCCCTTATATTTCTGTATTCAATCCATTGCATATTCACTCCGCCTTTGATGTCATTGTCTGTTATATGGTAATCGCCACCGCTATAACGAGAATTGTCCCTGACACGAACGCTCTGTTGGCCTCCTATGATTTTGCTCCTCGTTATTGAAAAAGAAACGCTGCTAGAGCCGTAGGTAGTGCTGAAGTATATGCCCTGGCCGTAGCTGTACTCACGAGTTGAAATCACAGTGCTGTTATTGATGGTCACCACACAAGAGGTCATGCTTGGCATATACAAAATTGAACTGCTGTCAGACCGGAAGTAGCACCCGTCTATTCTGGCCGTTAGGTTGAACTCGGGGTTTGCTGAAGTGCGCCGGAGATAAAAACTCCTGCTGTTTTCAATAAACTGACTACCAGAGATTACAACGCTGTGTCCCCCACTATATTCAATACCGGCATCTCCACAGTTGACTATTCTGGAATCCACCACTGACAGCCGAATGGAGACGACGTTTATTCCGTCTCTGTAGCAATCCCTCACTGTAACATGGCGAATATTCAAAGATGCTCCGTTTGTCAGAACCCTGATTCCGTATTCTGCGCCTTGTATCACCGCGTGACTGATGTTTATCTCGTTACATACTGAAAGAAAAACACGTGTTTGAGGAAATTATACAGAAGGTCGTATATAATACCATTAAGCGTCGCGCTTATATTTGATTTTGTGATCAGAAGTAGTTTCCAACGGCGACTTTTATATCGCCAGACTGAATGCTAAATACAACATGTTCAACAACAGGTGGTTCTTATTCTGCTGAAGCCACTGTGACTTAATTTCGGAATTCGTACAAACCATTGTTTCACACATACGATACCTTTTGTAGGCTTATTCTTACTTGAACGCTCAACACTTCTCTAACTCCATCTAACCCGTTCAAACACTAACTCACGTTGTACGGAGAATTTCAGACCCCTCCAGTGTACGTCACGCCTTCCAAGAATCTTTCTGATGTCACTGCTAACGAACCGTATTCCTAAACCTTGAAGTCCAACAGCTCCGAAACACCCTGCAAAATCAACGCCGATATTCAATTCAAGGTAATCTTTTCACTTTTGATTATGTCCCAAAACCATATTTCCGTGAATACTAACTCATCTTTCTGTACCTCCTTCTGAAATATAAAGGAAGAAGTTACGGTTTTAACTTCTGGCTAGACATTTAGTGTTGCAAATTATTTAATAGGATACGGTATAAAACATGAAATTCAAGTACACGGATGGGTCAAGCAGTGATTTGCGAGAAAAACATTACAATTTTTTCTGAGGAAAATTCGATTTGGCGCGAAACTCCGGGGTAGGATACATTTAGTGTTAACGGAACACAATAAATCATACGATTTCATTATGACTAATATCATCATTTCCGTCTTCATTTAAAATAGTGTTCATTTTAATGCGTGGCATTGTCAGTATTATGCTTTGCAACATAATGAAAACTAGTAGTAAAAAGTAAAACATAATTAAAACATCAACTGCAACTGTAGAGGAGCATTTCGAGTTATGTTGGCAGCGTACCCTGTGACCAAACGAAACTGAACGCCTGTGTTAATGGTCGGGCAAAAAAGCCTCACACTTATTACTTTAAGTTCTACCAGATACTCTCTAAGCGTATTAATCCAATCATGCTACCTTCAATCGTCAAACCAGCTGATGTAGAATTGAATACCACATCCACCCCAGGTTCAATTGTAAGGGACCCACTTGACGTCACGGTGATTTCACTATTCAAGACGAACGGACTCCGCGAAGGAACCCAGGTGGTGGGCGTCTGAAATACGTCGAATGTACACATTAAAATATGTATTCAAACAAACAAAATACTTGTCCTTAAAGTCGAGATGAATGGTGGATTAACCTGAAAAAATCTGAGGAAATACTAGTCGTTAGAACTATTTGAGCTTTTGAGAAAGATAATTTTCATTTTGTATCACAGCAGCTAGGAAAGGTTGTTTCGAGGGATTATCTAGTCTTTTGGATGCGTTTAGATATAAAAGATCACAATATTCAATTTTAATCACGGTTACTACGTGGAAAAATATTTTATCTAAAAATATCGTATGAAGACAATGGGGATTAATTGTCAGAGCAGATATTTTCTTTAAGTTGTATTTGAATTCTAGGAATAATAAAGGTTACATTTACCTCTACATTGGAGTTTACTACGGTGTAGTTTTGTATTGAAGCACTAGAATCAATACATCCGTATAACTCAAACCGCAGTGCTGGGGCATTCTGCCAACTCGTTGCTGCAATTGCCACGTACCTCGTCTGAAATAAGAGCACAAACAAATCCATCATCACAAGCACTTATCTGACTGGTATTTGCTTATATACAGAGAGATAAAATTAGAAAAAAGAGACTTATAAGTAAAAAAGCAAACACTAAAATGAGATAGCAATATATTATGAACGGCAAAAGATGGTTTCATATAAATGAGCGGCAAAACTCAACACCAGAAAAAGATTGGCCCTTCCTATCTACAAATCCTCTAACACAATCATAGTAAAAAGCGCGCCAAGATTTATCAACATTCTGCCCACGTGCTTGCCAACAAATAAGACAGCATTGTAAATTATACACCTCTAATCAAATAGTGAAATGAATGGGTAAACATGTAAAGAAATATCGACGAAATAATAAAAGTACGTTAAAAAGAAAACAGTTGTAGAGGTCCCCGGATCACGAGAAGCTACGCTTGTGATCACTTTATTTCGAATACGATAAGTTTATACTGGTGGTCTTTGGTCACTATATTGCGCCAATAATGATATTTTATTTGTTTTGTACATTTTCTATTATTCACACAAAATTTTCTTTTGCGTGTTTTTGATAAGGCTACATTTAAATGTGTGGCAGGAGTAATAGAAGAATACAGGCATGTATAAGGCCGCGTTTGTGCGCTGGCCTGTAGCTTTACTGGTACAAGAATAGTACAAAGGACAAAAGGCTGAACGCAGTTAGACTGTGTACTTCATAAAAGAGGTTCAAAGGACACATAAATATATGTCAAATGAATAATAGGGAAAACCAGCAAAACGATGATAAATGCTTTAAAAATATTGTGCAAAAAAGACGACAGACTTTCGACGCGTTTCGGGGACACGCTCTGATATCAGGGGTCTTTAAAATAGTATTGAAAATAGGATTAGGCCCCTGCGGGGTATTTCATGGTCTTGTTTGCAGTCTTAACCAGTTTTAGCATACGATATTTGGCGATTCTTATAAAATATTAAGGCACCCCGTTAAATGTAGCATTGTCGATGTTTTTTACATGTATATTTTTGACACGCTCTTGGAATGGGCAAATGCAACTAACGATTTTAAATGGTTAGAAGTTAAATAATCGATCAAATGTGATGCTAATGTTATTTGCATTGGCCTGCTGCAGCGTCATAAATGATAGAATGTTTCAATTTATTCGTTTGAATGTCTCGTTAGGTTGTCCGTCGCAAGTATGCGCGTCATTTTGTCAGTCATTACATCAATATAAATAGTGAGATGGTAAAAATTGGATTAGAAAGTTTAAATATATTTGTATAACGTGGCATATTATCGTTAGATATTATTTTATGGAATAACGGCGAAGTTATACTTTCATAAAGCACTCACTACGTCGGGCAAAGTAATTAATAGTTCCAGGTGAGATTGATAATTGCAATAGGTGCTTGTTGTGTTGGGTGCGACAATTGATTAGGAGCGACTGATTGCTAGCACTGAATGCAATCTGCGGTCACCTCACCGATATCGTCTTCTCCAGCGTATTTGTGACAATAGCGTATCGGTCTTGGGAAGACACGCCAGAAAAGATCTTGTCCTCTCCCTCCACTCGCTGGTGAATTCTCCATGTCAGTTTGTCGTTGCTGTAGAGCAATTTAAACCCCTTCACATAGTAGCTTCCCCATCGACCACCTCCGTTTTGAACAGCTATACCAGTGATGATGTGAGGCACGAGCAGGTCAACTTGGATGTACTCGTAGGAATACGAGCAGCAACTAGGCAGCCAAGCACCGCTGTAACCTAAAGCCCATACATAAAAAAGTATATAATAAAAAAGTTGAAAATCGGACCCATATTGTTTTATAATCACCCCCCCTTAAACCGTATTAAGGTAGAAACAGATTCTTAACGTCATTGCTAGATAAAAATTGTCTCTTTAGGAATTTTAAGTAGATAATACTGGTAAATGTACCAGTAAAAGATTACCCGAGGCTGTGTTATTTAATCTTGCCATTTGAGGGGTGGAAGAACTGTATCTGATACTGGAGGCTGTCAATTGCTCGTCACTTATTCGTCCGTCTTCCATGCCAAGTGCAGCGCCACCTCCCGGACAGGCTGAAAACACAATCACATCTCTTACAGTCCATAAGGTCTGGGTGGAAAATTCGCTTAGACATGAACACGGACTACGGTTCCTGGCGGACTTCCATTCCTGTTACACTGGAAATGGCTATAAGGACTGGTTTCGGTAATTTTCTATATCTAAATTTGAGTGTATACATACAAAAAACAAAAACAAAAAAAAAAAAAAACAAAACAACAACAACAACAAAAAAACAATATTTCCCATTGATTCACGACAACAGAAATGCGTAAACTGCGGGAGCCTTTTTTCCAAAAGAAAATTAAAAAAAAAAAAAAAAAAAAGGTCTTCACCCAAGCAATGCTCGACCAGCTCTTCTCAACAGAAAGATCTTCGGACAGAAAGACGCATTTAATCGTACGAGTGAATGCTTTTAAAAATTCTTTAATTTGTATATGGAAACCATTGGTTTTTGAAAAAAGTTATTCCATGCCCTCATAAGTTAAAAAGACTGGAAAAAGTGGATATGAAAAGATTTCCCGCCCCTTCCCTCGCTTATCACGTGCCCGAATGGCGGATGGAGAGCACCTCTCCTTCTGTAAGTCCCATTCTATCTTAAATCTTGACGCCAACATATCATATACCAGTGTGCTACGCACCTTAAAATGATGACAGGTTATAACAAAAGGAATCCTGTTAAGTGGTCAGGTATGCGTTATCTACATCCTAGACTTGATGGACGGACGTTTCAAAGTTAAGGATCTAAAAATTTCCGTAAAGCCTACCAATTCTTTTAATTCGTGCAAAAAGTATGGCGGAAATATGAAGATAGGAAATCATCAAAATCCAGTTCACACACACAAACTGCCGCTTGAGTGTAAGGCGGAACATTTAAACAACATGCTTGTTCTCCTACCTTGCAATTTTTTTTATTACAGTAACTTAAGATTTAATGTGCGACTTACAGACGCCTTTCCCCCCTGTATGTCCCATGTTAATAAATCCCACCCCCTGTGCTGTACTCACACGTACATGTAAGCCACAGGGTGGCGACACTGGGTTTCTACCGTGTCACGTGAAGACGGTGGCCCTGTTACTGGGACGGATGTGTGAATCAGCAATACATATGTCCTGTTCTCTATAATTTATCTGTAAATCTTTTTAATATACGTACTTTATGTAAAATTTTGAATGACTCGACAAAATATCCCGTTCTCTACCCTCCACGAGCATTACCGAGATATTCACTAGGTATATACAGGAATTCTCCTGGTCAATTCTCTACATATTCTTAAAAATTTATCTTTAAAAACAATATTTCGTTATAAATCAATAACCCTAAATGCGTTTTAAAGACGAAGGAAACTCTCAACCCAGATCCCGCACTATCTTGACAAGCAGCAAGGTTCTTAAAATAACTATGAATCTCTTTAAAGTATTTCTACCAAAATATTAAACAGCTGTGCGATTTTCATTTATTCTTTCGAGCAATTATAAACAGTTTAAATTTTAATTACCGAGCATACTTCTTAAGAAGGTTACAAACAAACAAACAAACAAACAAACAAACAAACAAACAAATAAATAAATGAATAAATAAATAAATAAATAAATAAATAAATAAACTTTCCGTGAACTTTCTTCATCTCTAATTACTTATAATTATTTAGGCGACGGTGGTGACATGGCCCCTCTGACGTTTTGCCATGGGGATGGACGAAAAGTGCCCATAAATCGTTGTTACACTGTATGGCCGCCAGTCAAGGGGGAAAAGCGGATCATGTGTTTAAAGCTAATAGATTCTATATGACGGGCTTAGATGGCTGGCATCTGTTATAAAAGCAAAAAAAAAAAAAAAAAATTAATCATCGACACTGAAGAAGCGGTGGTCCCTTTGTACAACAGAAAGTTAATGTACCATCTTATTGCGTAACATACCCGGAACCAAAAACAGACAGCAAGACAAACTACCCCCTGAGGTGGAAAGGGGGGAGATCTACAATGACAGACAGAGGGGTAGGGCTCCGGTAGCTTTGGGGAAAAATCTTATGAGATCAACATGACAAAAAAGTAACATAAATCAAGTTTTTCCATCCCTGTGGCCTACATATTACAGTCAATAACTCGCCTATAGATACGTGCACTTGCAACTTCGCCTGCTCCTTGCCCGACCCCCCCCCCCCCCCCCCCCCCCCCCCCCCCCCCACCCCCCCCCCCCCCGGCCACTGGCAATACCCTGGATCCTCCAGCCTGTGCCGTTTATAGTAGGACACTGAAAAAGCGCATGTAGAACAGCGGACTAATAGATCCGCGGATCAAATATGGCGACCCCAAAAGTGTGCTGCTTATATTACTGATTAAACATTAAATATATTCCCTGCTGGGATGACGCAACAAGCATCCAAGTGGGTAGGACATATTTGATAGGCAGATCTGCAAGTCCACATTTTTGAATGCGACATAAGACTGCATTTGGGGAAAGCCACAATCTGCGAGAGACTCATTAACTGCATGTCGTTATTATAAGGCAGCTTTCACAGTTTATGTAAATACTGTGCTGTCAATTTTCAGTTTATTGACTGACGAGGTGTCGCCTATAAAAACTGAATAACTAATGCGTAGAATATGTACATAAGAATATACATGTATATTGGCCGTTAGCTACCGGTTATAAAAAATATTGAGGGGAGAAACAAATTAAATGTGTCATCAATTTAGATAGTCAACGGGTTTATATGATTTATTCTATTTTTCCAATTAAGACAGCATTCTTCACAATGAAAAATTTTCCATTGAACTTACTGGTTTCCTGACTAGTTGCGCCATAGACGTGCGTTAACACCAAGGTAAGCACGAGGCTTGCGGCACATTTCTGCCTCATGGCCTGCGTGCGCGTCCTTCACAAGACCCTTTATTATATGCTGTTTGTGGCTGTAAAACTTGTTTCCTGAAAATGCATATAAAAGTGTATTGCACAGCCCGTGCTCTCTTAAATCAAATGCTTAATGATTTAATGAAGGTCACTCTTTCCGTAGCTGTACTTAAATATAAATTTAAATATTGATAAGCATGTAAATGTTATTTTATATTAAAACATTATCAGATGCAGTTCTTCCCTTATCCCATCTTTCCCAAACGCACATTCCCACTACATACACGCACCTACAAGCACGCACTCTGCACATTCAGCCTACCTGGTTGAACTACTCTAGAGTGAAGTGGTAAGTGTTTGTCACGGTTCTAGTTTATCATTATTTCCACCAGACATCCGGGACCGGACTCGGACACCTGTTTGGAGGTTAACCATAAATCAAAACAAACACTGATGATGGTGATGATGGTGTTTAAATAACCATGAACGGTGTCAAATCCTTTTTTTATTTTATACTTTTAGCAAAGTCATTTAAAAAAGGCATGCAAGGCAGCTTGCCGTGCATACTGCCCAAATGGTGTGGGTTCCAGGTCAAGTGTACGAATAAGACACATTATTGATTTATATAATGTTTATCTAAGGAAGTTTAACTTATGTGAAATAAAAAAGTGATATCGATTTATATATAAACTACAGTGTTTAATCTACTTCTATCTGTCATATTGGAAGATTCAAAGCTCCTTTGTAAAAACGGCAACACGGCAACATGAAGAGGAACGGGATATTTCTCATAGCTTTGCACGTGATCGGGTTAAACAGGCATGATAGAGACAGCCGAGCATCACCACCTTTTCAAAAATATAAACGTGAACAGGCCTACCCAACTACCAGACTCGGCACATAAGGATCCTGAATTAACCGGTATATCGGACCACACTTCCCGATTTCAAGGTGTGTCAGATCACATTTCGGAGTATCATACCCCAGAACAAATTTTGTAGGACGACCGCGGGCTCATCCTGTCGGTGTTCTGACTGATACTCCGAAATGCGATCTGACACACACCTTGAAAAAAGTGGTGTGGTCCGATATACTGGTTGATTCAGGATCCTTATGTGCCGAGTCTGGTAATTGGGTAGGCCCGGTGAAGATAAAAAGGTTTGCGGTAAACCGACGCCACCCAAGGGTCAAACTTCACGTCTAGGCCTCTAACTTTTAATGCTTAGTACGTCTATAAAATGAATAAATAACGAAAAACTTTTTAAACTGAAAAGGTGTAACAATGTGGACTTGGCGATAGAATAAAATTGGAGAAGTAGATGCTTCAGGGTGTGATGTATTGTGCAATTTAACTCAATTCATCATCGTTTGTATCATCAAAATACTGTTTAACTGTCACCAAGATGGATGACAGACTTAATCTCCTTTATAAATGCAATTTTGATATCTACATACATAGCAGAAGGTATAATAGGTCATAACGCTCAGGAAAAGATGCTATCCGTTTGTATCACAAAAATAAAAACCGATCTTCAATGAATGTGGAAATTCGGAGGAAAAAGTCTGACTCAGTATTTAGAGTCAATAAAATACGGATATGAATTTGAAAGAAATGCAATTTTTCTAATTAGCTATTCCTGGGCTTTTTCTTTCGCAAAACGTTGTAAAATTGTAAGACAACCACGCAAACATGTAGATGTAAGCAAAATGATAAATCCTTTATTAGTCCGCTGTAGCAGTAGATAAGAAAGCATTGACTTTCAATAGGAGTACCTCCTCTGAAAGATTAGTCAATCAAGACAATGCAAGTGGGTCGCGAACACTTCTTACTATATTATATTGCTTGGATATAGCGCCAAAACCTATTTATTTGAGGAAAAGCAAATTCCGCATGACGAAACCCGAATAAAAGCAACGGTCTATTGAATATGTCAAGTTCAATGTCACAAAATACTTTGGATCTTCATTTATGAAGCAGGTTTTAAATGCAATCTTAATTTACCAACAGGCACTGAAGAAATGGTATGACACAGTGCTGTAAGATACAAAACTGTAAGAAACAAACCTTTCAATACATGTTTTATCCGTATGATGTACAGTAACTAAAATTAGAGAGAAAATTAAAAGCGTAAATCACAGTTTAAAAATGACTTTCTCATGGATAAACGGCTATGAAGTGCTATATTGCATTTGCAAACGATCATAATATCGTCTTTAAGGGTAAAAACTAAACAAGCTAGTAATTTCTATATCTAGCACATTGAGTTTGTTGTCAATAGTGTTCAAGCAGATGATTCATCCTGCCGATCTTTTCCTGGTCGGCGACCATGTTTAGGCCGTTTCCATTGGGGCTCCTTGAACTCATGTTTGGCCGCGGCCTGGACTTGGATCAGCTTAGGTTTCGGGCGAGGTACAGCCCCCACTGGTGCCATCAGCCCAGTTAACATCGCAAGGCCTGGCATAGCATCTGCATCTTCTTCCTCTTGGTTCACGTTAGACGCATCCAGAGGCGGCTCCTCGGGGGTGTTGGTGACATCACTCTCTGGCGCTACACTGGGACTTTCCTCAACACTGGGCTGGTCTTCAAACTGGTCTTCGGCGTCTTCTACTTCTAAATCATCCACGCTGCCTGGCATAGAATAAACAGCCTGCTTAGTAGGAGTCCGTAGAGTTGGCTCACGGTCACTGACGGCCGTCGGTGTTTCTGGTTCTTGCTGCCAGCGCATCACTTCCTTTAGTGACACTGTGTCTACTTCTGGGTCTCTCCTGTGAAAATACATGTAAAAGATAGTGGTTCACTGATTTCACTCTAAATAGGCGATATACACAGATATATGTACGAAGATCAATGGAAAGATTTCATCATACCAATATTTAATATCGCTTAACTGACCTGACAGGTTTCACTTTGGCGTTGGGCGTCGACTTCTTCTTGAACAAGAAAGCACCAACTAGTAATGAGATTCCAGCAAAGAGGAGGAACACACAAGTGACAGGTAGCTTCCAATAGTTGAGGATACATTCGTGATGAGCTATCTTATCCACACAGTCGTAGAACGTGGGGCATGGCTCAGCGGCACATTCGTTGATCTCACTCTCACAGCGCTGTCCATGGTAGCCGGGGTCACAGAGGCAACTGTAGCCATTAAATGAAGTGGAGCGATCATATCCTGTACAATGCCGATCTTGGTTATCTCCTACACATTGGCCGAATTCACATGGGTTGGCGAGAACATAAACGTGGAAAAAAACCATCGGAGCAAATGGCGATCGCTTCTTTGAGTCTTTTCCTGTCACATTGAATGTCACTTCTCCGTGGAAGTACCGAGACGTGTTGATATAAAGTTTGGCAACTTTCACAGAACCATTCACTTTCATTTCATCGAAGAAGTTTTGTTCAGTCTTGTTCGTTTCGTTGAAGATTATGGTATAGTTTTCTCCCATGAGTCCATTTGCGATAAACTGCAGCCTCTCGTCCTTATCTGGATCGAACAAAATCAGATCTCCTAAATATTTCAGTTCTGCTTTGCCTTCGATGGAAAAGTTAACAGTTGTCGGATTTCCAATCTTCTTGGTAGAGCCCTGTCTTTTGAAATAAAGCAATGCGGGGTCGTTGGTGCCGTTAACATGCAGTTTAACTTCTGATGTCACACTATAAGGACGAATGTTCTTAAGTGCGGGAGATACCTCTGTCACCCTCACAGTCACTGTATCTGTCCCACTGAAATCTTCCTCCGGTATGTATGTCAGCACGCCGTGAGAGGAGACATCAGCGTACCCATGAAGTGGTGATCTGGCCAGCTCAAATGATACATCGTCATCTTCCGGGTCGTGAAAGGATAGGATTTCGCTGAAGTCTTTCTGATCCTCCATAAGGTAGAGATCGGTTGTGGTAAGCGTCGGTGGGTTATTCACGATATCTGGACTCACAATAACCAGTGCTAATTGTGTGGGCGACATCTGTGTACCAGTGGACCTTTTGTGAGGGGCATCATGACTGGGTTGGTTGAGGTGACACACCTGGAGAGAAAATATACTTTATTTTGAGATATTCCATATTTAATAATACAAAATAATACGTACATACGTACTAAATGACAACTTTACCACACAGAAAGCTAAGACATGACCAGTCCAACTTAAATAAACGAATGAAAGTTTTCGAAACACATTTATATCGTTTTCTTTATCTTTTAAAAGTCCGTGTTTTATTTCGAAGTCAATATAATCTTCATGTAAATCCTTTATTCTAATAAATATTAGAATAAATAAATATTTAATTTTACTAATTTAATTCGGACTCATTTATTTATTAACCTTTAATTTTTTGGTTGCAAGTTTTCAAATAAACTTATTATAGAAATATTATAATTATAGTATAGCATTAATTAAACATTAGGAAAAAAGAAGGCGTTGATAATAAAATCTACAGTGGTAAGAGTAATTAAGCATGATTGCACTTAATTAGCGCATGGTCAATAATACGTACCCGTGCTTTGATGGTTTTGGTATTATAGTCCACTGATTGAACTACATCACACTCTTCGTTTATCTGATGCCATCGCCGGGTTTCTGAGCAGATCAATAGATAAAGTTTATAAATTAATAATTAAACGAATGGATAGATAAATATGTGAATTAATAGATTCAGGGAGCCGTATATGTTGACGTGGAAGTGGTCGCCAATGCGGAGTTGCGTACAATTATTGTCCAGTGTACAGTTGCGTTAATGTCGCACAATGTAATTTTATGGAAATTATGAGGTTTTGGACGGTCACTTTTAATTGTAAAAGTAAAAGTAATGTCTGTTGGTTTTTTCCAAATTCTAAATAAATTCTTAAGGCCAATATAACCTGTGTTCCAATATATCAGCTCCGGTTGTAGTCCTTGTCTTACAGAGTCTGGGTCAAATTCTACTACCACTTCCAGATTGTCAGTAAGGATTGCATGGCCTGCCGGAGACACGAAGAAAGAGGTGTCCGTTGTGCCGCGAATTCTAAGAAAGACATTACATTCGTAAGACGGTTGTTACAGCAATGACCTATTGTTACAGCAATGATGTCACTGCCCCCTTCAATGCACCATTTTACGATTAATCATATTTAACCTATGTTTTAAGTACTGCAGGAAGGTATAGGCTACGGTCGGAAATGCTGAATTTCAGATAAGTGATCATTTACTCGTGTGTTTCCGTTTGTCTACTAAAAGTGCAACTGAATTTACCAATCCAATGGAATGCCGGTATTAACTGTCAGATTTACCTCTGATACAGCGTTCTTGAGACCTCATTGGCAGTGTATTCAGGGTCCTGTATGTAACTGTTGAAGGTTGCAGATGCAGCACTGCCGTAGTGGACCTGAAAGTCATCGGCTGAGAGCAGACCTGCCAAAACTGCACCACTA